AGGTCGAGGATCAGTTCTGGTTTCTGTCTCTGGACAAGCAGGTCTACCCACAGAGCCTTAGCATGTCGCATGTCGTTAGCTGAGTGAAGTCATGCTTTACAATGCCGCAGGTAGATTCCCAAGATGCCTTATTGCGTAGCTGTTTCTGTGTGGGGGAAGAGTTTACAGTGGCGTTGTTTATGCTTGCAGTCACTGAGTTGATAGTTGTTTTCTCACAATTGCTACCTAATGTCGTCGTGTCTTTGAATATATTTTGTATTAAATTTAAATACAAGTTTCAATTTATATTGGGATGGGTGTTTACGCAAAACGTTAAGCTGAAATGCTAGGGCCTTAGAGCATGCATTTACGACAGAAAGGAGTATATATTTGAGTCAAAACCAAATGATTCCACGAGCAAACTTGTACAAACTAACCATTACATCGGCTTCTCCGTGCATATTTATGTCCCAAAAACGTTGCTTAGATAATCTTTTGTTTTTGCAAAAAGAATATCATGTAATCAACAAACACAAACATCTACGTATATTTCTAACAAACTGATAGTTTATTGGATGTGGCAACTTTGGACATTTTTATTACTTTTCCTTAATAGTTTATTGAAGTTCTTGATATTTCTAAAAACGCACTTTTTGATTTAGCTGAGTATAGTTTTCGGTGCCGCTAACACCTTAAATTTACATCAGAAACAATTTTACATTTCTTATTTTATATGGTTTATTCAACTTATTCTTATCTACTTTCAGTTGAGCATTAAGTTCTTTATTATGGTTGCCATTTTTATTTAAGTTGAGGAGTAGTTTCAAATAAAGTCAGTTTAGTTGACTTTAGTTTAGGTTTTAATGAGTAAATTTTAGTTTTATTTGTTAATTTTTTTAATTCAGGTATTTTCCCACATTTTCTGAATTGCACAGTTTAACTATCACGCGCTTATTCTTGAAAAACGTTAGGGCATTTCAATAATTATCCATGTTTTTTCTGCTTTTTATAAACTTTATTTTGTATATATATTTCCTTTCCTTTTCATTGCCCCGACTGTTTAATCTTTATTTTGCCCGATTCTGTATTGCAGGAAGATGGGGCTTACGCGTGCTGATCTAGGACCCAGACAAGGATTCTACAAAACATTTGCAATATTGAATACATACTACTTGTTGCATTACTAGTTGGAATATTGGGCTTTTATGTGGTTATTACACGGAATTCGATTGAATTCGAAGCAAATGTTCATAGCATTCCAGAAGTTATCGTCGATCTCAGCCATATCAGCTCATTAGCTTTCATCAACCAGTCATAGCCAAACCCCCAGTTGTGCCCCAGCGGAGACAGCGTTCTAAGAAAAACTACATGATTTCCAAGTATAATAAGAGGGTGAATGGGGAGCTTCAATACGAACGTCACGCCTGAAGAACCAATGCCCATGTCAGATGGAGTCAACACACCTTTACCACCCCGCACAGCCTATTTCCACTTCAAAGATGACCAGGGTTGGACTAATCTGTACGCCAAAATGGTCTCAATTTGGTGGACATTGTCCTACTGGTGCCAGCGTCAACCTCCCGAAGGCTGTTACATTCTTCTGGTACCGGTGTACGGCACTTCGGATAAGCAACAGGAGGTCATACAGAGGTGAGTGATTTACATTTGTATCGCACGCGCAGTCTTCCAGACTTACAGAAGACTTACTCGTTTTGCTAATCATCCACTTTTGCGGCGACGAGCGGCTGTCTTCTGTGACGTGAGCCGAGCTGCGTGGCATATGTTGAGAGGTTGGAAACATCTCGACCGAGGAGTCCAACATATAAAGCCGAGGGAGGTGGACATGGCTATGCTTGATTTTTTTAGCGTAATCACACTTGAAAATTGACAGAAGTATTAAATGGTACCAACTAGATCTGAACTAAAAACTCAGACCCTCTCGGCCCAAGGCATGTGTTGCTGATGACTGCATATAAGCCCGAAATCGTTGGTAGTTATCTGATGGTGCGGTGTGATCGCATGCAAGGACCATGGAAACAATAGCTTTACCCTACCAACTAGCATTTCTGACCAATGCCAATTATCTGAAAAAAAACATTCCTGGTAGCCTTCAAACCCTGAAAATGCTACTTTTCTGATTAGGCTCATACCACCCTTTAGGCAAATAAGCTAAACACACGTATTCTGACTGTTAACACTGCATCCTTCTGCTGTATTACTAGAAGTTCATGGGAATATTCCTATCTTTTGACACTCCAGAATTTATCGAGAGTAGGTTCACTCTCAAGAATTTGTGTCGAACACCCTGATGCCCAACTAAGTGATCTAACCAGCCAATTTGCTAA